CATGTGACTCCCGACCCACAGCAATGTGGTTGACTCTTAACTACCTTTGGGCAATTAGGGATGGGTAATAAATGCTACCTAGCCAGCAATGCCCTCATCCCATGAATGAATGAAAAAAAATCAGGTTTAATTCCTCTTTTTGCGTGTTTTCATGTTATTTCTTCCTTTCATATGTCTCATTTAGAATACTTCTGCTAAAGCTTGTTAGGAAGTTTAAAGTATTCTGCACTGGGCAGTACATTTCATTCAGGCTGCGAAAATGTAGATTCATCTTGGAGTAAATTATTTGTGCTAATGTGACATGGCTTAGATATGGTGTGGACAGAAGGAAAGTACATTCCATTGTGGTAGGTCTTTCAGAATTAAGCTACTTCTGGCAGCTTCAAATCCACTCAAAAAACCTACTTGCCAGCATTCTCTTTCTTGTTTTTTTGTCTCACGCTCTCTTGCACTCTCTCACTCTCACTCTCACTCTCTCTATCTATCGCACCCCTTCTCTCTGTCTGTCTGTCTCACACACACGTTATTGCAATGTGTGCCATGAAGAAATATAATTATGCATCGTCATTGTTCTATTGCTGAAATTAGATTACTGCTTTGATACATGACTGAATCTTTTTTTTTTCCTTTTTATTTACTTCTAGGCTACCCATACAGGCATGCGGGCATACATGTACAATAAAAATTCTGATCGTGGCTCGCAGGCAGACCAGAGTGGTATGAGAACGTACTATTTCAGTGCCGATACACAAGAGGACATGAATGGCTGGATCAGGGCTATGAACCAAGCTGCACTTATGCAAGCATACACTTTAAAGAGGTGATTCTGAACTTTGATTCAAATGTTAAGCACAATTAGTTTGTATTAAGACATTTTCAAAGGGGTAACACAGAAAACAGGGGTATTGCTGCAGACTTAATTGAGATTTTTCAAGAAACCTTTAAGGTAACCATAATAGACTGATGAAGCTGGAGAATGTGGAGTCAGGACAGTTAGCAAAATGGATAGCGAGCTGACTTCAAGACAGAAAACCAAGAATATCTTTATGGATAATTATGTAGTGTGACAAGTGAGAAAGTGATGATCTACAAGGATCAATGCTGGAACCACAGTTGTTCACCCACTTTCAGCAGCATCCCTCCCTCCTTCCCTGTTGAGGCTACCGTGACCCAGTTCTGTAAGTTCCGGGGTTCAGCTGGCAGCATCAAAAGCCCATTAGGCCACCTCCAGGAAGATGGCTCTGCTGGTCTTGCTTCCCAAAAGTGAGAGTTTCAGACCATCAGTTTACCACAGGATTCTGGTCATGTTAAATACAGCCTGAAGACTCAGCTAAGGAAATTAGGTAGATTCAATAAGTAGGCAAGATAGAGGCAGATAGGCATAATGAATGGAAATTTGAGTTTATTTACTTTGTTTTTCTAGTCCTCCTACCGATGTTTTTAATGGTGGGAAACTATTTAATGTTGATGTTCAAAGCATGTCTCCTTGTGCAAGAGCACAGAAAATGTAACATGCAAGTGCAACAGATGACTAGCAAGGTAAATATATGTTGGCTTTTATTCCAAAGGGATAAAAATGTCGGAGCAAACAATTTTTGCTGCAATCGTAAAGAGACATGATGAAAACACACCTGAAGTACAAGGATCAATTCTGGGCTCTGTATCGAAGTAAAGATATGTTCTCCTTAGAGACATTGCAGCATAGCTTTTCTAAATGGATTCCTGAGTTATCAATTTTGTTTAATGAGGAGAAATTGAGAAAAATGGGCATGCACTTCTCCAAGGTTTAGAAGAATGAGAGGTGCTTTCATTGAAACGTTTGAAATTCCAAATAATCTTGCCAGAGTATTTGTTGGCAGGATAGTTAGCTGTTTAGGATGGAGGTGAAGAAAAAGTTCTTCACTTGGATAGTTGTAAATTTGTTGCATTGTCTGCTGCAGAAGGATATGGAGTCTCAGTCACTGAGCATATGCAAAGCTGCAATTGATAGATTTTTTTGAACTCTAAAGGAGTCAAGCAATGTGGAACTGAGCTGGGAGTCTGGGATTGAGGTCAAGGATCAACCATGTTCTATTAAATAGCAGACCAAACCAACTCCTGCTACTAGTCACATTCACCTGCAATCTGGCAGTTTGACGAGCAGCTTACACAAATGCCACAAATTCAGAAAATGAATGTGGAGCAACAGAAATGCTCATTATTTTGCCTGAAGATATTTCAGTATCCACCAAAAAAATATTTTGTTCCATATTTCACCCACCCTATTCCAAACGCACAATATTTCAATACCACATGGCCAAAATGCAGAAATTTCCTCAACTAATCTCTGACTTAAATAGAGACATATTTCACTCCAAGTTAATTTTGAAGCATAATTAAAGTTGATCTGGTAGAATAATGTTGCTATGCATAGCTGTATCTTACTTACAGGAGATAGACCGTGCCCTACAACTCTGCAAATCAGTAAGCTTTCCTTGCAATGAGAAATGCAAAACAGGGGAGCGAATCCCCTGAGGAAAACAAGCTCAAAGAGCATGTCAACATTGTATCTACAGCTTCAAGATATATCAATATACAAACTATGGATGTAATTCATTGTAAATGTCAGAGGCCATGTATATGTGGTTAAAGACAACAGTAATTCATTTGAATCAGAGATTGTAGGAACTGCAGATGCCGAGTCTTCACCATTCCTCCAGACCTACCCCTTACTGAGGACGAACGGCCAGTCCTCAGTAAAGGGCTCACCTTTGTCCCCCTCCACCCACAGATCAACGAATACCGCTCACGCTTGGACATAGAGCAGTTTTTCCGCCGCCGCCGCCTCCACGCTTACTTCCTCAACCGCGAGCCTAACCCTCCCTCTACTGACCCCTTCTCCTGCTTCCAACACACCCCCTCCTCCTGGACACCACCCCAAGGCCTCCTACCCTCCCTCGACCTCTTCATCTCCAACTGCCGTCGAGACATCAATCGCCTCAACCTCTCCACCCCTCTCACCCACTCCAACCTCTCCCCCGCAGAACGTTAGTTAGCTGTTTAGGATGGAGGTGAAGAAAAAGTTCTTCACTTGGATAGTTATAAATTTGTTGCATTGTCTGCTGCAGAAGGATATGGAGTCTCAGTCACTGAGCATATGCAAAGCTGCAATTGATAGATTTTTTTGAACTCTAAAGGAGGCAAGCAATGTGGAACTGAGCTGGGAATCTCCGCTCCCTCCGCTCCAATCCCAACCTCACCATAAAACCCGCGGACAAGGGAGGCGCAGTTGTAGTATGGCGCACTGACCTCTACATCGCCGAGGCCAGACGCCAACTCTCCGACACCTCCTCCTACCGCCCCCC